CCCACCTCTCCTCTCGTCTCCTCTCCTCTCCTCTCCCCGCCTTGGAGGGACCCCCCTCCCCAATCTGTTTTCAAAGCGTGTCTGTCCTTTATTAAATTGTTTTCTTTTCCACATTATCAGTTGCCATGGAGACCTCATCTCTCGGATTATTTGAATTTCATTATATCTATTGATTTGGGAGCATTTCATCTTTTTTATTGTTTTTCTGTCAATTTTCGAAACGAATAACCATCTAATTTGCGTCAGCGCTGATTACGTTCGTCCCTCAATAGAGGTCGGCAGCTGCGCCGGGGAAACAAATCAATGGAAAAACATCATAAAACTCGAAAGTACAATCAACCAGGATATGGGTGACATTCCGTGGTTGCTGAAACGAAGTCATCAAAAAATATATACTTTTTCCCCTGTGCCTCTGCATGTATGGTGGTGCAGTGAGGAGGACACATGTGTCTGGGCAGATATATTACTATATTTCAGCAGATAATATACCATGGTGAATTTCCATACTGATAACAGCCCCTCCCTGACCGACAAAAACAAAAAAATGCTTACTGTATCTAAATAATTTATGCAATTTTAGCGTTTATATATAAATTTTTTAATAAGCTGCTTGGAGCAAAGTGGCCATTAACAAAACACACAGCTGTCCAATGGGCTAAGCCCAGCAGATCAATTGCGCTTTCTTTATGACATGATAAAATGCTTTTAAAGCAATTTACACAAATATGGAAAAAATGACTTCACAGGCTTCATTTATTCATAAGGACGTGTATTAGGAGAAAAAAAGTCTTACTAAAGGCAGACAGGAGAGATGGTCCCGGTCCTAACTGGAACGGACTTGCTGCCCTCTCCACAAGGACATAAAGTTTCATTACTGATGCACGCAGTCAAAGGCAATTTACCAAACACAGTGTGCAAAAGAAAACATCAGCATATTGCAAGTGTTCCTGTATTAGGCGGACCTTGCATGTTGTTTTCCAATTTTGATTCATTTTTGTGGGGGGGTAGCGTGTGGTCGGGGGGGGTGATGGATTTTTTTTTTTCTCCCTCCCCCCTGCCCAGTGTCACCCTGACCCAAAGCCAAGGGGAGGTAGCCTCAGTGACAGGGACGTGTGCTTTCTGGCCCCCGCGAAAGCAAACCGCACCGTGTGCCAGACAACGGGGCCTTGCAGCAGGGCGAACGTGCACGCGCACACACACACACACACACACACACACACACACACACACACACACACACACACACACACACACACACACCTTCAGCTGTTCACTGACGTACACCACATGACACTCAGACCCATTCTGTGAGAAATCAGGCCAACAAATATTTCGGCAGACCCGATCATTTGTGTTCTTAGTGCAGGCACATCATAGGCGGGGGGGTGGAAGGGAGGGGAGGGAGGAAGCTAATCTTGTTTCAAAGCATCCTCTCTCTCGTGTGCCCACAATGTGTCTGAGCCGCCGTACGGTACGCTGCTGCTGCTGCTGCTGCTGAAGGCCCCATGTTTGCAACATATGTCAACATTTGACATAGCATTACTCCCCCTCCTGCCACCCGCCCTCTCCCCACAAAAAATTGATTGTAGCTGAGCTGTACTATTTGTGACGTTAGATAAATTTATTCTTATGGTTATTTTATTCGTGTGAGCGCGAAAAGCGGAGGTTAGATGGGAGTCTTATATTTATTGGGATGCGTTTCCACAACCCGTTGGGGCTGGGGGAGAGAGAGACACAAAGAAAGGAAGAGAGAAAAGAAAGAAAGGCAGAATGTTTCGGAGTCACGATTCCTCTCTTGATTGCCCTATAGCCGTCTCGGTTGTGCAAAACACGAGCCTCCCCTCCCTCAGCCACGACAGAAACACGGGGCGGCTGGATAAACACTATTTTATGCAGTGACTAGATGAATCCTCAGGCAGTAATTACAGTCTTCCTCCCGCCCAAACCAAATTCAACTGTACGGACTCTGTCGCTGACACCACACCGCGGCAGCACGTACTGCGAAAGTGCAGGTGTGTGACATGTTTGTCAATGCCTCTCCCAACTAGATAAATATAAATATTAGACCCGGTGACAACAGCAAATTGCTCTCCCTTCCACCTGCAGCGATGTGTTAATAATCTGTAGCTGAAAGAGGACTTGTGTGGACCGACAATGTTATCATGTGCAGTCAAACGTTGCCGGGCTGGCTTTGTAAAGAAAAGTTGTCGATTTTTCTTTTTTTTTTTTTTTCTGCTACCCTAGCAGTTTGTGCTTTCCTCTCGTCGATGTAACAAAAACAACACGGTTGCGTCCCAAACTAAACATTCCCACACAGTGGGCGGTGGTCTGCGAGGTCTCTGACACCAACGAGCCCGGCGCCGACAACAAGAGACATCAAACGACATAAATAAGCTCAGCAAAGGATTTCATGCGTCCATCTGATTCCACCACATTTTGAAACTTGAAGAAATGCAGATCACGGCTACATCCGGTGATGCTAGAGCAGTGAAACACACTCTCTTTCTCTAACTTAACACTAATTCATCCGGTCAGGCCGTGCCCCAAACACGGCGCAGTAAACCATGTCAATGTCCGAGCTCTAAAAAGCACAATTACAGAGGACCTTGACTGAATAATTTAAAGAGCATAATTATTGACCTCTATCCAAATTCCTCTGAAAGGTGCATTAAGATATAGAAAAGCTGTGGAGGTGGAAGTGAAACTAAGGAGAAGGGAGGGAGTGCGTCTCCCCAGGCCTCCCTAATGCACTCTCCTGCTGTACTCTAACTTCCTGTGGACCCCTAATGTGCCCGCTGCTTGCTGGCCTGATGAAGACTATGGTTAATGAGGCCCCTGTTTCTCAAATGAAGTATCTTTGAAACCATCAACATGCATTACTATCAAGCTGTCACCCCCCCCCCCCCCCCCCCCCCTCCACCCCCCTGTCCCCCCGGACCACACGTATATACGCAAACGCACATCCCCCCAGGCCCAGACCTGGCCACACACACCCAAACACACACAAAAAAAGGAGTGTGTCACCCCTATTCAACCCCGCCCCCCCCCTTTATGGGCCTCACAAGTTCGGGGGGACCACTCCGGGGGAAGGGGGGGCGTGGGAAAATCCTGCCTGAGAGGGTGTGTTTTTTATTATATTTTTGCGAGAGGGGGGGGGTTTGAGAGGTAAATGTCTCTCCGGGGAGCTCACATGCACGGGGGCGCTCCCCCCTTCGCGGACACCGGGGTCCCCCGATCTTCTGTTCAAAACACAAGCCTGTGACAAAATTAAAAACATACAAAGAGAATCTCGCGGCCCGCCGACACACATATAGAAAACCCCCTCTAACAGACTCGCGCTAGAAAGTGACTAGCTAAAGCATTTCACAGGCCCGCACAAACCATCGTGTGGGAGAGTGTGATAAAAGCCAGAGGCGACCTCGCTCTTGTCCCTGGGATGGCGGGGGGGAGGATACAGCGAGGCCACATTTTTAATTAAAGGAAAATATTTGTGTTTGCATACTATCGTGGTGTGAACCTGGGACAATTCAGAGAATTCTGGGTTTTTTTAAGCTCGCTCTTAAAAAGTAATTTGGGGTATTTCAGATCCTCTTTGCATACATGCATTTTTAAAATTTCAATTAGGCCATAGATCTTTTAAGTAAGCTTCTCAAGTTCTGTGTTTGGGGTTCTTTTGAGAGATTTTGTTGAGATGAATGACCACCAAATTCTATTAAAATCAATTCAAAGTTGAATTTATTCTGCTGATGTCTCTGCTGTATTTCGCCAGGATGAATAGAGGCCACTGAAATAATTAAGCGACTTTTGCGACATCCTGCATGCCAAGGACAGGTGGATTAAAGTATTAAAACAATCGCATTTCAGTCTTAAAATAGTCTTGTGCACGACTCAGCACCATGCACATCCGTTCAAGTTCAGCTGCCAGCTCCATAACGCCACAGGAGAGAGGTAGGGGGAAAAAAAGCCCAATCCCATTAGCTACGTACATGCATCTCAGCAGACCTGCTGGAAATGTGAGCAAATCTCAGTGATGATTATCCCCTAAAGCTCTCAAATGATAATACATAATCAAACCGTACAGACGGCTTCTCTGAAATCACAAAGCCAGCCAGCACTAATGTGGGTTTCCCCATTTGTGTTCAAATCTGGCGCTTTCCAAATGAAAAACAGAAGACCGCCGCAATCAGTCGCCTCCGCACCCGAGGAGACACTTAACTGCTGTCCTCCAATTAGGAGCCCGAGAACGGAGCTCCCTGCATCAGGAGAAGAAATTATTTAAGACAAAGGTTAAGACGTGAGTTCACGTTTGATTTTATTTACAGTGCAAAGTTAATAAGAGGACAAAGTGCTACATGGTTCTGGTTCGCTCAAATATTTGGGTGAGTGATCTTCAAATTAATCGAGAGTGTTGAACACGACTCTGTGCCTTGAAAATCAGAGACTTTGGGAATGGACCTAAACCTAGTTTTTTTTAAATACCAGCTATAGCCATAGTGTCATAGAATTCAACTACAGTCACGTTTTACTACCGTGAAATAAGGGTTAAACTATTTTTAAACCCCATTAGTGAGCTCATTACTATCTTGGGGATTTGATCTTATCAGACTGAACCACTTTCTTTAAAGATAGCAGATTTATTTCATCAGCATCAACTTGCCGGCTCTCAGCTGAAGAGAGCTTATGTAAAATGCCTGAGAGGAGGACCAAAAAATAGATATCTACTGTAAATCACTCTGAAAGAGTTCTATATCGAGAAAATAAGTGATGCAGCGCAGAGCTCTTGATCTCCTTCTGTGTGTGTGTGTGTGTGTGTGTGTGTGTGTGCGCGCACTGCATATAAGTTACACAAGCAGTGAAAAGATCTTTTCTTACAATTGACAATAATTAAGGTGAGTGCTCTGATGAAATCTAAGCCTCTTATCCCACCTTCTGCCATCTGTGGCTCCCATATAGGAGCTCAGGGACCTTCTCGCTCGTCCCCTTTCTGGAAAGGAGCAGGGAAGAAATAAGTGCCGTCGACGCAACGAGTCAAATCGCCGCGGTCAACCTGTCCCCCCGACGCCCCGACCCGCGGAGGTGGAATGAACCTTCGGTGGCACAAAACAAACAGGGAGGCTGAGGGAGGAAAGAGACGGACAGTGAGTGAGAGAGAAACCTGTGCCCTTCAGTCCCCCCCACACCGGTAGAGACGCTCTTAACCAGGTCTGACAGCTGACAGCTCCTCGGCAATTGGGGTCAGTTAAAGGAAAAGTAGCTCAAGTTTTGTTGGGGGGGGGGGGGGGCTTTGGCTTCCAAAAAGTTCAGGAGCCCCTGCCCACCGCAGCATCAAAGGGGATTACAGGGGCCGGGCCATCTGTTGCCAAAAAAAACGGGAGCCCTTTTATGTCTCTGCCTGTATGTTTGTGTGCACGTGTGTGCGTGCCAAAATGCGTACGTGTTTATTGGCCAAAAACAGCAAGAGAGACGGACCCTCGAGTCCATGTACTTTTAACTTAAAGGGCTCCGGAGAAAAGGGGTGCCCACAACTGGTTTTAATCTGCGCCGGGGGGCCATAAAGGGTAAATTCAAAACAAGCGGGGCACCACTGTTCGGCGGAGTGAAGTGCACCAGTCGAGCGTTCCACCGAGCAGCGTAATAGAGTCAGTCAGGATTTGGGGCTTTTATTTCTGCTCGCGCTGGCTGGCCGAAAACAGCATCCTGCACTAATCGTGAATTGTCTCTATTTCGTCAGCCAGGCCAAACACAGAACCTGTTTTTGTTGTGGGTTTATAGCGACACACTGCCAACCTCGTCCCCCCCCTCCCCACTTCACCCCTCTAATTCGTTTTGGGTCCGGTTCCTGGCCTCCGCCTGGGAATGTTTTCTCCTCAGTAGTCTGCTACCTTTTAGCTGTGCCGCCCAGTGCTTGACCTGCTGCCAACACTTACTTTCATCACTCTAATTGTCGTTTAATCACATATCAACCTGTCACTTAAAGAGACCCCCTTTTTTTTTTTTCAACGGGGAAACATTTGCATATGTTGTAAAACTAATTTCTATCAAAAGCTCCAGTGGCTGTGAAAGCTGTGTCTCTTTCTCCCTTTAACTTTCACACAAATGTAGACACAGTGCAGGAGAAAGACAGTATTCGACTACATCTCACCTTAACAGACAAAAACACACATGTAGGCAGACGGCAGACCTGATATTTTCGATTCAGGTGGTTTTATCACATTTGTTAACAGTGTGTGGTGACACGTAACGTGTTAGAATAGGGACAGCGACGACGCGGATCCAGAGCGCATGAAGCGAAGGTGACGGTAAACGTATAGTGTTATAAAGGAATCAATTAGAGTTAATAATGTATCACTCTTTCAAATGTTACATTCATTTGTTCACACTTAGATAAAGCGACTGGAAAATAGGTTGTGCCGGTAGGCCCGGCAAAGCACACTACATTTACATTATCACCCTTATACATCGAGGTGCCGTTGTTCTGCTTGAGTGGCGGCGGCGGCGGAGAAGGGAGGGGGGGGGGGTGTCTGCAGGGGGGGCGAATCATGTTTTTCGGGCCCATGGAAGAGCAGTCCTCAGGAGATCTCCCCCTCTAATTACAGATCGGGGGAAAAGAAAGCTCTTTGTTCCACCTTTTATTACATTAATTGATAAAACGGCGCTCGGGTGGAGCCGCCTTACAGGGAGGGGGAGTCGGACGGGCCGGGGGGGTGAAGCGGGGGGAATCCTGTGGGCAGATGAAGGCGGGCGTGAGGCTTTTGGAGCTGAGGTCCTATTTTCAGAGGACCCCCCTAATCCCGTTAGGGGCCCCGCTGGTGGCAAATCTCCGGCGCTCTGCTTTCCCACAGGCCCCGGCGGCTGCGGAGCCGGGGAGGGGTGTGGTGGGGACGGGGGGCCGGCGATGGTGTGGCGGGTGAGAGTCTCGGGGCAGCGCTGTCTGGGCTCAGGCCTTAATTAACTGTCTCTTCGGGGGGTACTGAAGGCCACACTGAGACCCTGTGTCACAAACCCCAGAAAGCCCTGAGAAGCTTTAAGAGGAAGTGGTATCTCACCCAGTGTGGAACCCCTGGGAAACCCCATGGATCTTTAATATGGACCCCGCACAGCTCGGAGCCGTATAGAGGTCATTTCATGACTGCTTAATAGCTAAGCACAAATTGCGCAGGTGGTTGATTTTCTTTTCACCGTGCTAGAATTTTAATTAAAGCTTAAGGTAAAAGTTTGGAACAGCGAGGGAAAATTACTTTAAATATGATTCAGAACTTATTTGTATTTTTCTAAACGACAATGGACGATAAGTTACCATGTCGACTCGTCCAGGATTGACCAATGTTTTTTTTGTCAGTGGTTAAGTAGCTGTAACAGGCTTTGTCATGGCTGTAATCTGCTTCTGCTCATTTAGGCTACCTGCAGACAACAGAGGCCCGCGAGGCGCTGCTGCAGTGGCCAAACAAGAGTCTGAAAACGTTACAGAGACAATTAAGCGTGTTGGTGTGTGTGCACGCACACAACAGTGTCAGAGGTGCTAAGCCGGGCCAAACACGCCTCATTGAAATGTCCGTCTTAAAGCCACCCAGGTTCCTCATCTCCCCCGCCCTCCGACAAGCAAGATGCTTCAAGACTGTCAAAAGCATTTTCCACGAAGCTGAGGAGAGGGCAAAGGGAAGAAAAGGACCTGCCACTGTCACATGCGTACTTGCGCGTGCACACGCACACTTGCGAGGCTGTCAGGTAAATTAGATCTGAAAGCTGACAATTTCTGACCATATTTCCTTGATTATTTCGAACAAATGCACACCAGCCGCTCTAAGGAGATTAAAGTGACATAAAAGTCCCGAGTGGGAGGAGGGAGGGCAGAGAATCCAGGTCACCCCCATTTGTCCCCCTGCCTGACAGCAGCTATATCGCTATCCAATCCAATAAAAGCCCCCCCCCCCCCCTCCTTTTGCTTTAATTAATTTTACAGCTAGCTTGCTTAATTACTTTCAATCAAAATCCTCTTGCCATCACAAAATTAGAAATGGTTCAACTCCATTAGTCTAAATTCTTCATTTACATACACAAAGACTGTCAGCTCTTGCTAAGCAAACGGCCTCCTGCTTGATGAGATTGTTTTTTTTCACACACTCTATCCCTCGCACACACACACACACACACAAACGCGTGAAGCTGTGGTGTTAATTTTTTTGAAAGGAGAAAAGTAGCATAAAATTATTTGATCCCTTTACTTAAGACTTACTCTGCCTAATCGGGGTTCAGGTGAGCTGTGGTGCACATGATCCAAAAGCAACGGAGAGTTGTGCGTCTACAACTGTCAAAATTGATAAGATCCACAACTCGGTGCGGGGAGAAAACCGCACGCCCTTAAACAGCGCGGCGCATAACAAACGCTGCATATAAGGGATAAACAGGATGAGCGAGGCAGTGGCCGAGATCATGTAACTGAAGCCAACTGGTCATTTCTCAAAATAAGCTTTTATTTCTAACGCGACAGAGGAGTCGCACATTAACGGGAGACACATGGAGCCGTCTAAATCCGGCTCCTTTGTGGCAGAGTGTCCCCGACTAGCCTTCGGGAACCCAGCGACGCACTACTGCCGGTCGGCGGCTGCGAGAGAACCCTGGGTATTTTCCGGAGGACAGGCCCGTCTGATCACTTCAACTTGGCACACAGACATCCTCTCCATCACACACGCCGCCTAAGGCGTGCACATCATCAAGAATTAGGGACATGCAGATAGGGTTTGTGCACTGACCAAAGTGAAAAGCCAGGCACACAAGCACACCGCCGCATGTGCGTGCACACGCAACTAGTATCGTAATTAGGTCCCGAGATGAAGGCATTAAACTGGTATAATGCACTCACTGCTGCGACGCGCTGCACCACTAAATATATGGACGTTGCGCTGCGTGCCCACCAGTGACACCCTGCCATCGCCTTTATTTCCCCATTCACACGCATTCCTGCAGAGCAGGCCCAGCGCGAAGCCACGCGACACAACAGACTTTGATCTGCTTTGTTCCGATCATCTTACACTTGTGCGAGATGAGCGGAAAAAAATGGAACACCTTGAAAGAGATATGGAGGGATTTGTAGCGTTTCCAAATGGTGTCTGGTAACACTTTTGAGATCATTTGCAACAGGGGGGAAAAAAAAGGGCATCCCTTTGGGCCGCCGGGCCGAATGCAACCCACGTCTGACCCGCCCCCCCCCCCCTTTACTGTGCGTCTGCAATGACCGGTTTCCCTTGCCCTCTTTAACCAGCCTCCATTAACACTGTTAATTATCCAAATCCATCATTCTTGGGGTAAATGAAGACTGCCTCTTTAATTCAATTTAATAGGATCATTTTCCAACTCGCGTTCACTTTAGCTCCAGCTGCCCGCCCACTAGTCCCCCACTGTGTCTCCCCCCGACTGTATGCGGACTCCCATGGCTGTATCTTCTATGCACTGGCTTCCCTCCAGTAGTGGAAGGGGGGGAGGGGGGGGGCACGAAGGCTAAGGCTGGATGGCAGCAATGTGACTGACACACTGGTGATCTCTCCCATGTCTTGTCTTGGCTCGGCTGGGGGCGAAGAGCAGTTCTGGGTCCCCCAGTCTGCTGCGCACACACACACACGCACACACACGACACACATAGAGCTCACAGTACCAGCCATGCTCACCGAGACTTAGCTAATCCTGTCACATCAGGCCACGTTGGCTGAGTTGAGGCCTTTAGCAGCAACTCCCCCCTCCCTCCCCCTTCCTCCGCCCACCACCTCCATACACCTCCACACTTTGCCAGCACTCCTTCAGTGACTCCTCTTACTCACTTTCTCCCTCTCTTACTCCTTTGTTCATTTCACAAGGTCACGGGTGGCCGAGTGCAGCACGCCAGTGGTAAAAGCTGACCAAGTCCTGGATGGTGCTGGTAGAACACATCTTATGGCTAACGTGCACCAAATACTGTGCTATGAAATAAATACACCCATTTATTTGCAAGGTGACTTTATAATCACTATTACCTCATTCTGAGGTCATTCCCAGGATCACCTAAATGTGTTTATAAAATACACAGGTATCGTTTTCGCTTTGTCATAGTAGTATCAGTATCAAAACACATTTTCCATGAAGCG